CTGATTTACATCACCGCCTATTTAAATTCGGGAAGTCAAATAAATGTAAAGGCTGGCATCATGACGTGCCAAGGCAGGGAGAGTGGGTGGAATCACTTTTCTTCCATATACGGGAAACGCTGTATGTTTAAGTCTGTTAGACATTTAGTTACCAAGAATATTTCTATAATAAGCAGTTATGCAAGTCTGCATGTCTGAATATGTACATGAAATTCCCTGCAAATGGAAGCCTGAGGGGAACGGCATCCAATTGGAAGAACTTTGTATCCATTCCAAATCCTCCATATATAGTCTAAACTTTATGAGAAATTTTAATTTTGTTATTTAGGGTGTTGTTCTTCAGGAATGTTGGTTACTTTTATATACCCACAGGTACATCAGCTAAGACTTGAGTCCCTCCTTTACCAATAAAATCTAGATCCTAAGAATTTCATATCGTTGTTTCCTAAGATTATATTATTTCTTTATTTTATTTCCATATGTCAAAATTCCCATACCTTTTTTGCACATTAAAATTTACTTAATAAGTATCTTTGGTTATACATATTTATTGATTTAATCTAAATTTCTTCCCTTTGGCCAATAAATTGTGCAATATAACTCAGTGACGTTTCAGTGAAAATCATTATGGCAGGCCAGTGTAGCATTTACTTTGAGTCGGGTTTTCATGTTACTTTTGGTTTTCAATACTATAAACCTTACCAATATTCTAATAGGTAACACTGGAGGCCTGGTGCACAAATTCATGCAAGGGTGGGGTCCCTCAGCCTGGTGAGCAATTGGGGCTAAGTCCTGATTGGGGCAGCCGGCCAGGGGGAGGGATCACAAGACCTTGGCTGGCCATGGGAGGTTGGCTGTGGGAGCACATCACCACCAGGGGCAGCTCCTTCAAGAGCACTGTCTGGTCATATGGTCACTTAGGCTTTTATATATATATATATATATATATATATATATATATATATATATATATAAAATATTTTATTAAACATTGCCAATTGGGTATAGTATAATAAATTTGTATCCTTCTCCACTACGTAATTTTGGATTTTAAAAAAGTGCATTAACATTTTTAATACATACAGTGATAAACTTCCTTAATTCTTATCTAAATTTCTAAAATTTCATTCTATTACTACTATTACTGCTGCTAGCTTCCATAATTTATTTTTGCCAAATACCTCTATTTAGAACTAATTTTCCAGTATTGTATTTAAATTTCAAGAGGCAAATTTAATGTAAAATAATTTTACTTTTCCCTCTGAATTTCTTCTGCTTATTTAGAGTGGCCATAGGAAATGTCATTTTTGTATTTTTATGAGGCATCTTTCGAAGCATGCTGAAATTGCTTTGATGGTTATGGTTTACCATAAAAATAAAAATAAAAAGTGGAAAATTTAGAAATACTTAGTTGAGAGACAAAAGAAATGCAATTCTATATATTCAAGAATTAAAGAGCCTTCCTTTGCCAGGCAATTTTACTAGGTATCTATGGAAACTATAACCAGAATACTTCATTATCTAATGATGCTATTTTGGATGCTATTTTGAGGAGTAGTAGCATTTTAACAGGATCTTACAGTTTCTGGTCAAGTAACCTTCTGAAGAAATGCTCATTATTAGACTAAGCAAGTCTGCAAAAAATTACCTGTAATAAACTAAAATCATCCAGTCTCAGCAAATATGAAGCACCTATTGTGTATCTAAGTATTGCGTAGGTGCTAGGGATTGGTGGATTGAAAAAGCATACATTTTCTGCCCTTGTGGGTTTACGTCTACTCTAGGAGAGAGACAGAAAAAGAAAGGACGTGTGTGAGACAAAATAGCATATTAAGTGTAACAACAGGTTTGGGGAGAAAGTGAAACTTGTCTGAGGAATTAACAAGGGTAAGGAATACAGAGCAGGGAAAAGAACAATCTAGACAGGAAAGGACACGTAAAAAGCTCTGAGGTGGAAAAGGGTCAGCACACCCAGGAAAAGATAACTTGTGAGCGACAGAAGGTACCACCCTGAGGGCAGAGGGGAGCCACTGGAGGATTTTAAGCAAGGAAGAGACCATGTGATTTCCACGATCTGAAGATGCTTGCTCGATGAAGAGTTAGGAGTGGCAGTGATGGGAGGGAGGTGTGAAACAGGACAGGAGGCTTTCACAGTCCAGGTCTGAGGTAGGGGTGACCTGAGGGAGAGGAGCTGGTAACAGGTAGAGAGAAAAGGAGAGATTCCAGTTACATATTTGGATCCAGAACTGAAATGGATAGAATGAGGATGGACATGGGGGATGGAGGAGGGGGGGAGAGGAAAGTAAATATTGATGATTCTTATGTGATGAGCACAGGCAACCTGATGGATAGAGGCACCACTGACTGAGGAGACTGAAAGAAAAGGTTTGTAGAGAAAGGTTAAGACTTCCCCTGAGAGATGAGGCCTGTGAGAGGTCTGAGTGGTGATGTTAACATGAAGGCAAATTACAGCAGCTGACAATAGGGGACCGAGCTCAGAATGTCAGCTGGAGTTATCGATTTGGGAAGCATTGGTATATGGGTGACAAGTAAAGTCACAGAAGGAGATGAAAATGCCCAAGGTGAGAATTTAAGTAAAAAGAGAAGACCTTAGGATCAAACTTGAAGGAATTCTAAAGTTTAAAGCAATCGAGCCCACAAAGAAATGCAAAAAAGGTGGGAAGAAAGCCAGCAATATGCTGTCACACTTGCCAAGAGAAGGGCGCGGGGCAAAGCTGTCCACCTCAGCTGAGACCCAGCAGAGACCAGGTGTGTCAAGCTTTGCCCTTCTCTCTTTCTCAGAACACACAGCAGTGATTCATCCCTGTAATTCTCGAGATGGAAAAACAAAACCTCTAATCCCCAAACTAAGAAACATAGTGAATACATAGGAAAGTGATTTTTAAAAACCATTAATTGTCTATTGTTTATTCTTCCCAAGTTTTCTGATCTGGATTTACCTGTCCTATTTTGAGTTGTATGGCACTGAGTACTAAAGCAGTAAATCTTCAGACTGAACACATTACAGAAAATGGAAGAAGCCTGATGACAGAATCGAGTAGTGAATAAGTAACTCAAAAGGAAACCATAATGGTTTAAGCGGGATAATACATTTCATTTCATGCCACAGAAGTGGCACAGAAATCAATAAAGCACATAGCCACAACAGAATTATTAAGACAGTATCATATGAAAAATTATTACTATGGCTTCAAATATTTATTCAATACAGATTTAGTGAGCAGCATACACTATGACAAGGCTGTTCTAGCAATATTTAAAAACTCTTTTAAGAAAACTCATTTGAGCACTGTCTTAGTTTAGACTGAAGATGCAATCCTTTCAGAGCGAAAAATGGCACCTGATGTGATTTGTTAAACCACAAGACATACCACATAAGTAAAAAACACTCCTAAATTTGAAAGTGCCACGGTTTAAAGAAAGATTTAATGTTGTGCTCCCTTAGAATTACAGACCTATTCAGTTAAAAAGAAAAAGAATTTATAAAAATTCTAAAATAAGCCATGGGGGGAAAAATCTTCTGGGACTACAGACCAGAAGACTCCTATTAGTCATTTCAGCTCTTTGCCGATTAATAAAATGATACTACATTATGTTGGAAGGAGGGGGAAAAGGCAAAAACATATTTAACTTGGGCAGTGAAGGGAGGGCAAAGGAAAGGGAGAGAAGAAACTTATAATTTAAATGTGTACAATGCTTTTAAATGCCTAAAAAATAAATTTAAAATTACTTAAAGAAGAAATGTCATGTATATTTTACTAATATTCCACAACTATTTTATACAATCTCTAGTTCTTGTCCATATGGATATAATTCATACATTTGGCTTAATAGCACTATATACTTTTTACACTTATCAAATGTTTTCCATATTTCTACTTATTTTTTCCCCTATATAATACTAGAAGCCCGGTGCATGGAAACTCTGAATTTAGAAACAACTTCTTCTGTTTTTGCTATTTGAAAAGAAGACCCATGATTTTCAATAGATTCTGAGTTCTATGCCCCCACCTGCTTAACTTTATAACAAGAGAACGTACTGTTTCTAATCGCTACTTGGTAGAGAATAACTGTAAAGCACTGCCGAGGTTCTCTCAGCTTTCTAGCATCAGGCAGCAACACACCAAAGCCCCGAGTTAACAGTAACTCTGAGAAGCGACACCATTAAAAGGGGATGATCTCAACACTAAACTTTTTCTGATTTCTCCTATCGTAGGCCCAATAGTATCACTGTAGCATTTAAGTCATCTCCGATTTATAGAAAATGTGTGTCAAAATGTCAACTACAAAGTACACAGCAGTAATGTCATACTGTCCCTCTATGCTGAAGCATGATACTCACTGAACAGCAGGTGCACATTTTTTTCTGATACTTGAGATTGCTGGCTTCCCTCTTTCTTACTACTCTCACCATCATTATGCTTAATTCACATTTACCCATGACATGCTGCAAATTGTTGACTTTATACCTACTCTTTGTATAAATAAAATGAGTGAGAAGTATAAGACCCCAATGGATAATTTCTACCTTCTTGTAAAATCACATCTGCTTAGCTGAATGAGCCTCGATAGAAACTTGGGTGGAACCTGACAGCCAGCTCTCAGATGTGCTTGCAGAGCAAGAAAGAGAACTCAAAATTCATATGCAATTAACTGTAGAGTCTATTTCATATGCAAACCTGAGCACTCCCAACTATTATAAATTAAACCCAAATGGAGTAAAGTACAGAAAAGTTCTTTCAAGTTGACATGACAACTCGGTGGTTGAAAGCTTTTCTCTCTCCCATGAAACATACTATAATGTACTTAAGAAGACATTAGTAAGCAAACAAATCCCAGCTATTGTTTTAAAGAATTAGTATCATTCCAAATATAAATTTCCTCTTCAATCACTTAATTGGCGTGTCCCATTTAAACATGCAATTACCAGTCATACACAGCATGCAGCATGCAGAAAATGGACAGCAGAGGTTAATAACCTGGAAGCATAGGATCTGAGAATGTGAGAGCAAGTTAAAGACAAGAGTTCCTCTCCATTGTCACTGAAGCTCGAGAAGCAATGCTGAAGCGTAGAACAGTGAGAGTGGGGGAAATACAGTTTGTCCAACACATAAACATATCTCCGCAAGTGGCGGCAGGTATAACTGAAAGACAAGGTAAAAGGAGAAAAACAGAAAGAAAGGAGTTTTCCTTTGAAAAAATAAATCATTCTCAATGTCCTCAAAGCTCTGTGTATTTTCATTAGATGGTGCCCAAAGGGGAAAAAAATAAACGAACAGCTGTTAAAAGAGAACATAAAAAAGAGAAAAAGAAAGAAAATGAACAACATAATTAAAAAATGGGCAAAAGACCTAACCAGACACCTCACCAAAGAAGATATACGGGATGGCAAATAAGCATGTGAAAAGATGCTCCAATCACATGTTATGAAAGAAATACAAATATAAACAAGGAGACAGCGCTGCACAGCCGTCAGAATGGCCAAAATCTGGAACTCTGCCAACACCAAATGCAGGTGACGATGTGGAGCCACAGGAACTCTCGTTCGCTGCTGGTGGGGAGGCAAAGCGGTACAGCCGCTCTGGAAGAGTTCTGGTTTTCTTGCAAAGCTAAAAATACTCTCCCCGTATGCTCCTTGGTATTGACCCAAATGAACTGAAAAATGTATGTTGACATAAAAACCCGCACATGAGTGTGGATAGCAACTTTATTCATAATTGACAAACTATAAGCAATTAACATGTCCTTCAGTATGTGAATGGGTAAACCAAGTGTGGTACATGCCCACAATGGAGTATTATTCAAATCTAAAAAGAAATGAACTATCAAGCCATGAAAAGACAGAGGTACCTTACAGGCATATTGCTAGGTTTTGAAGCCCACCTGAAAAGGCTGCATACTGTATGATAGCAACTCTGACATTCTAGAAGAGGCAAAAGCACTGAGACAGTAAAAACAAAACCCCCACTAATTAAGAACTTTTTGTTATGCTTTTCAGATATAAATACATGAAAAATTTTGAAAAAAACACTTTCACATTTATGACATAGTTATTTTTCTGACCCCATATTCTACTGTGGTAATTAAAATCAGGGCTCACAATGTCCCTATAAAAAAATAGTAAAATTGCAAAATAAAAATAATAAGTGATATGTTGACTATCCTGTCCACCAACAATTCTGTCATGCTCAGGCCCTGAGACTTCCTAACTCTATAAATAGGTATTATAAATAAGTCCTGGAAAGGACTCCAGGACTCAATTCACACCAAAAAAAAAACACCAACTTAAAAAAACATAAAAACTGTGTTATTTAAAAATGTGAGTGAGCATCATCTTAAACAAATGCTCACAGTTAAAAGTACCAACAGCAAAGAGGACATCATATGTCTCCTGATGGGATCACAGCAGAGCTTCCCCTCTAATCCTGAGGAATCATCAAACGAATCCAAGTTGAGGGGCATTTTACCTACTAACCAACCAACCAACCAACTGCTCTGTGTTCTTCAAATTCTGAAAGACCAAGACTGAGGAACTGTTTGGATTAAAGGAGACAAAGAGGACAACTAAGTTTAATGTGTGATTCTGGGATCGGATCCCAGACTCGGGGGGAGGGTGGTGGTGGTGGTGGTAAAAAGCATTTTCCCTAGGAAAAAAATGAGTGGGGCAAATGACAAAATTTGAGTGCTTGCAGATTAGTCAATAGTACTTTCTCAATGTTAATTTCCTGATTATGATAAATGTCCTTGTTTTTAAGAAGTACACACTGAAATTCTTGATGGTTAAAGGTAGATCATGTCCATAAACTTATTCTCAAATGTCTCAAAAAACAGACGTGTTACAGCAAATATGGTAAAAAATCTTTACACTATTTTTATAAATCTATAATTTCAAGATCAAAGTTTTTAAGAAATACAATAGAAAACATCAAAAATTCATTTAATTTTCATCTAAAACATAAAGAAAACTGAATAATATCCATATTAAGATTATAGGATTGAAATCTAGAGACCTACACTGTCATTCTGATCTCTATACTTAAAGCTTAAGATATCAGAAAAGCTACAGCGTGGGAAGTAAGCAAATGTGGTCTGGAGTTAGCCCATAAAAAACAGTCACTGTTACTTAAGAGTTGCATTTTTATAAAAAATAAAATCTCTTAAACCTTTTTACATGAAAATGCCCACGATTGTGCAATGTATGGCTCTGAAATGTTACTTGATCTGGTTATGCTTCACCAAAGTAAAGTATGAAAATGTTCTTTCCTAGAAAAACATTTAATTCTGTAAAACATCCAAAAAACCACAAGCAAAGATCGATGCTTAAAACCAACAGTCCCGGAGTTAGGCTTCCTAATAACGTAGTTTACAGCACTTTGATGATTAAATTACAACATTTCCAGAGCAACTTTTTACTAATTTATTTTCTTATGTATGTGTTTAACATACTTAAGAAAAAAAAAAAAAAAGGAGGGGGGGCAATGTTAAAATATGTACACTGATAATAATTTAATAAAAAATGTAAAAAAATGGTTTACAAATACTAGAAAAAGGCAAAAATATAAATAAATCTAAATGAATATTGCTTCTATAAGATAAAAAAAAAAAGAAAACCAATAGATTATGATAAGCAGGTTAAATTTATGGACTATCTAAATTATTCCATGTATCCCTTTCCAACATTCCTGTTTTCTTTTTCTTTTTTTTCTTTTTTTTAATAAAAAGCTTGTTACCAGATTTACTGGTTGATATAAAACATCAAGAAATTAAATTAATAATAAATGTTTAGAACCAATGTGAAGAAAATTATAAAAATTTACAATTGGGCATAAAAGAAGACTTGAATAAATGGAGAGATACCAGCATGTTTTTGGATAAAAAGTCAAAATATTATAGAGGATGCCATTATCCTCCAAAGATCCAAAATCCCAATAGGAATGTTTGACTTTGAAAATGTAACTCTCTTAAAGTAGTTCTAGATTTCTTCTAGGTGTCCAATTTAAACACTAATAAAATATATGGATCTCTTTCAGAAAAATGTACCAATTCATATACACACAAAATTTTATATGAAATTTCAAGATCCTCAGGGGACCCTAAGCCCATTCATATTATCCCTATGCCTCACAGTCATGTAGTGCAAGTGTTGGGCTCCAGTGTAGAACAAAAAATAAGTAAAAGAGCCAAGAAGACTTTGAGAAAGAGTAATCAGGAGGAGTTTAATGGTGTGTTATTAAGATATATAAGGCTGTCACAAGAACAGTGCATGGTACTGGAAGAACAGACGTATAAACCGATTCCCAGATTTTGGCTTGCATACAAGGTGATGTCATTCACTGAGGCAGGGAGCAGGCAAGAGCAGTGGGGAGGGCTGGGGAAGAGCAAGATTTGCATTTTGGACATGTTGACTTTGAGATGACTCTGAGAAACTCAAAAGATTATCGAGCATCTGACTGGGCAAGGTGGGCTCAGGAGTCTGAGGATGGGTCTAGCCTGGAGATGTATGGTGAACTGACGGGAGCGGCTGAGGTCACCAACAGAAGGAGTAGAGACGGAAGGGGATATAGGAAGACCAGCACTGAATAGTTTCATAAATCTATATGGAGGAAGAAAAATCTGCACAGAATTTTGAGGAGTGACCAAAAAAATAAAAAAAGAAACCAAGAAGAGATTGCTTTGAGGAAAGACTAGTTAACTGTATTGAATATAACTAAGAGGGTAAGTAAGATGGAAAACAACCACTGGATTTAGCAATGTTGAAGTCATCATTGACCAAAAGTCTTTTTTGTTAGAAACTTCAAAAAAAATATCATTCATTAAAACACAACCCCAGATATAAGACTTATCTTCAATTCCATTAGCTTATTTACATGCATTAAATATCATTAAGTTTCCAGGAGGGATTCGTGCAAACCAAAAAATTATAAAACAGCTCACACACACAGTTTTACACAGCATAAAACTTCCAATACAGTGTGGCTACCCAAGGCTCTCCAAGAAAATAAGCACAGGGAGAGCTGGGATGGACGTCAGGAAACTACACACAGTGGTGGAAGCACAACCCTTGAATCATTTGACTCACTGGCAGCTGAAGCCATTTTTCCTGGAGCTAAATCTACTGCCAGCAATGAAGATCCTGGGAATCTCTAGTACCAAGGATTAACTGACTGGCCCCAGCACTGGAAAATATATTGAACGGAACAATCCCGTACTCGCTCAGAAGGGATGAAATGACCTAATATCCCACTGCCAGATCTAGAAAGGAACAGAGATTGCAATAACAATTAAAAAGGGCCTCTTTAACGATAAAAGGTTATAATATAAACTTTTCTGTGATTTGTTTTATCTCAGTTATTAAAGAAATTCAAAGTAAGAAAATTCCCTAGATTTGTAACATATAACATTTTAATCCTTTAGAATTTTTACTGTCATTAATGCTTGAAATTTAATCAAACCCTTTGTTGATTTAAAAATCTTCCAGTAAGTACTTTCACCCTAAATTAGCTACTTATTTTGGGATATAAGTATATCAATAAACACTTAAACATCAATAGAAACTTAAAAGCAAAATATTTTAGGTAACAGTTTCACAATATTTTTGTCAAATTATTTGCTTACTGATTTTAAAATATTTGTTGTAATCAGATATAAATTTGATAGTATCAATAGGATTAGTCACATTTTCTTTTCGAGACAAACTTTATTTCCAAGAATGTTTCTGAGAACATTAACTTGCCTTTGAAGACCTGATCATAGTTTACTTTATAAAATCTCATTTTCCACTTTATAGAAAACAAAGCAGTTTAAAGCACTGATTTTCATATATTACCAAAGTAAAAGGAACGAGGCACTTGGAAATTAATGTCTTTAAGTTTGGTAAACAGTCAGGGTAATATGTACCAGATACCTAAAAATATTAGATTAAGCAGATGAAAATTTACATGGTACTCATAAATGTACCATTGTCTTCTATTTTAGAAATTAGAGACCCCATGAACAAAATTCATGCAAGGGGTTCAGTCCTTGCAGCTTTGGATGGCCCTTGCAGCTCTGGCTTCATCTGAAAGGTCGTTAGGATGACTGTTCTGCTGTTTGATCTAATTAGCATATTGGCTCTTTATTATATAGGGTAATGTTATAATCTATA